ATTTCTGAAGTGTTCTGTAATCAATCAGCTATTCTTTTGCATGAAAAAGCCCAAACAGTTTAATATTCTTTCCTTAAAATATACAAATATCTTAATATGAACCAATTTTAAAGTTTATTATAATCATGTTATGACATAGTTTTAACACATCTAATGCATAGGCATTTATTATGCAATTTTAAAATGACTGACAGCTCCTCTTGTCTATATTTCGTGCCACTTCATGGAAATTGATTTAAATAAAAATAATTTGCATGTTCTTAGAGGATTTTGTTGAATTTACAAGGACTAGGGGAAACCACATTAATTATTGCTATGTCATCCTTGCAAGCTAGCGAGAAATGAGATCTAAAACCTGAGCCAAACTATATATAATTAGCATTAAAATGACTCAAGCATGAAAATTAATCAAAAGGGATTTGAAGAGTCTTATTATTCTTGTCAACAAAAGAATATTATACCTGTTTGCAAACTTTTATTTTGATTGCTCATCCCCCCCTCTCAATCTCAAATACGAGAGCCACTTTAGGTCCCCATCACACTTCTCATATAACATTTTTTTTAAATTTCTGTTATGACAGTCTTTGCTGCCATACATAATTAATATGTCTCTTAAACACAGATGATGCTGGCTGAAAAAGTGAACAGCATGCATCCCAGGTGTCCAACTTCTTAAAAGTAATTATTTCTTCTTTCTGTATGTGTATTATTTAATGTTAATGAGATTTTTTGATGGGTGCATCCTGTTTATGACATAATGTATTTCTTCTGAGCTCAGTAAAGTTGGGGTTGAAGGCCAAGGTGTTCATTAACCCAGGAAAAATTACTTCATATAGACTTTTTAACTCATTGCTGAAGTTCATCAGTCTAAGGAATACCTGCAGTCAACTCATTCTACTGATAGATGATTCTAAAAAATGGAAAATGAGTGGGGAGATGGGAAGGAGAGAAATTCAGTAAAGAAAGGTGAGTATAAGAAAGGAGCAGAGAATAGAATTATATGTTAATTACACGGCGGAAAGCAACAGATTTCAAAGAACATATAGAAGATATGAAATTGTATATAGATAAAGTAATTGGCTACATGTATTGCTATATATGAAGGCCCCTCAACCTAAGAATAGACAACCAACCCCCACCCCCTCACCTGGCTCCAGCCAAGCATGATTCTAATACTAGAAATTTAGCCGTTCTAATTTCATTATTTTAAATTGAACTTTTCCTTATTTAAAATGTAAATACCCATTAAAACACATTAGAAATCATTCTTTAAAGGAGTCAGTAGTATAGGTGGGTTGTTTGTTTTTCTTCCAACCTCAATTTCTTTCCCTATACAAGGTTACTTAGCCAGAGAAATATTCCAGAGCACTGTGTATGTCCCTGAGAATCGGAGACACATTGGAGAGGAGAAGGCAGGCATCTTAACTGTTTTTGTTTGAAGTAAATTAAAATATTTACTTTATCTAAAGTCTTCTTACCTTGTATACTTCCACAAGATTGAAGAACACTTAATACTTTTTATATAGATGTGGCTTAGAGTCAAATTCTTAAGTTCCCAGGAGCAAGACTAGGTGGGAAGTTGAGTCAGAGACATACTTGGTAATACAAACCTAAGATTAAGTTGAAAAGGCTATTTCCATTTTTGACATATTTGCTTACACTAGTGGATTAGAGTAATGGTGTAAGTAAAGTTAATCTAGTAAAGTATGTGATAACAGCTGATCTTTTGGGAACATGTGGGAAAATATGGACTAGCCTCATGTGTGGGGAACCTGGGGTCTCCAGGCCACATGTGGTGGTCTAGGTCCTCACTTATGGCCCTTTGACTAAAAGGCCTGAAGGCCACAGGTTCTTCAGCCCTGGGCCAGATTAAAGCACAATTACATACATATTAGCACTGCTTGAATGGCTTGGCCCAAACAGTAGTCATTAATGTCTTATGTCATTTTGGAAGGAAGTCACCAGTGGAGTGCCCCAGAGATCTGTACTTGGTCCTGTAGTTTTTATATTTTTGTCACTTACTTAAATAGAGGTGTCAGTGGCATGCTTATCATATTCATAGATCATGAAATGCTGGAAAAAATAACTAACATCATAGATGACCATCAGGATTCAAAAACATTTTTATAATCTAGAACATTAGGCTAAATCAAGTCATCTGAAATTTAGTAGGGTTAAATGTTAAATCATATTTTCCATTTAGAAAGTCAGCTTCCAGGTTGATATTAGGAAGGCAGGGATGGTGAGGCAACAGTTCAAAAAAGATCAGGGAATGATTTTAGCAGACAGAAAGGTCAAAATAAATGAAAAATATGGTATAACAGATAGGAAAGCCAATGAAATAGTAAACTGTTTTAAAAGAGGTGCAATGTCCTCATCATACCAGGTGAGCCATGTTGTATTCAGTTCTGGCAACACATTTTCACATTTTAGGAAGAACATTAACAAGCTAGATAACATCCAAATGAGCACAACAGGAATCATGGGTATTTTGTTTATAAAAGTGAATGCTTGGTGGGAAAAGGAGATATGAGATAACTGAAAGTCTTTGTAGAGCTTCAAATAAAAAAAAGGATATAGTTTTTGGTTTTTTGGTGTTTTTGTTTTTGTTGTTTTTACATGCCCTGGCACTGTAGAATTGGGATCAATTAGGTGTAATTTGCAACAAGTTAAATTGAGACTTGATATTATGAAAACTTATGATAATTAGAGAGATATTGAAGTGAAATGAACTGCCTTTGTAAGTGCTAGGTTCTCCCACATTGGAGATCTTCAAACAAAGACTGGATGACCATTTGTCTGGCACATTGTAGAGGGGATTCTACCTGGGTAAACTGAACTAAAAGCCAATGAAATCCCTTCCATCTCTGGATACTTTCTAGATTAAGAGCTAAATGACACTCAATTTCTATGGATGTCAGAATTGGGAGAGAGACAGACAGAGACATACACAGAGAGACAGAAACAGAGAGACACACAGAGTCAGAGAGACACACAGAGAAAGAGACATCCAAGACTTTGAAAACTGAATAGAAAGGGCAAGCCTATATTAAACATCAAAAAGATGTGGTGGTAAAGAGAATCAAATGAATAAGGTTAGTGGGCAGGGATGAACAAAGATGTCCACACTCTGGTTCTTTGAAGCAAAGAGGGAAATGCTAAAATTAGGAAGTGAAAATGGACTTTTGTAACTTCTTAGTTTTCCTTGGCTATGTGCAACAGCACTTGGTGCTTAACTTTTAATATGAAACATTCCTTTATGCATTTTTACGTTTTACTGCTAAGCAAATGAACATATATCACATTTCAAGTACCATTAAAAGAATCTACATTTCCCAATTTATCATAAGAGAAGTTATCTATATGAAAAACTGTCTTGTCAGACTATGGAGCTTAGTAAAATTCTTAAAATATATTTGCATGTAAATGCTTAAATGTGTATGTAACTTTTATTTATATCTAAGTACTATAATACTCATCTTAGTATTTTTTTTTTAATTTTGGGCAGAGGTGGCCTATATAAACAAGCTGTCTCAGGTCTGAATTCCTTAAATGGCAAGAAAGCATTTATATTTTCCTGTAAATAACAGGAAGTAACCTATAATGCATTCATGATTAGCTTGTGATGGTACATGAGTATTTGCATGGATCATATATAATTCTCTCTTACATATTGAGATTTTTAATTGACTTAAGAGAATAATCATTTTCTGTCTCAGCATCCCCTCAGTATTTACTGTTATTATATAAAAAACATATATAGCATGTGTGTAAATATACATGTATATACATTTACATTTTTACTCACTGTCTTTCCCTAAAAGCGAGTGACTTAAGTTAACATGTCATTTCTGGCTGTATAAGACATAAAGTATTTGTCCTAGAGATAGAAACAATGCTTATTTTCAAATACTATACTTGTCCCTTGATAACAAGGGACAAGACTAAGCAACCATGTTAAAGACTATCTTTGTCAGTCTATGGTTTATCTAGGTAATAAAGCTATTTTTTTCACTCATTTTGCATCCATTTCTTTAGCATTTCCTATGTTCAAGGCACCGTACAAGCTGTTGCAGAGGAGATAAACATATAAAACAAGATTCTGAGGGTCCAAGAATTGATACTCTAATAGGTGGCCTAAGATAAGTCTTTAAACAAATGCAATAGGTAGCATTTTCTAATTATTACATGAGTGATGCAGATAACAGTATGAGGGGGAAAGGCAAAAGAACCTCCCTATCAAAACAAATTGTAATAGTAGTTCCAAGAAAACATTTAATGTTTTAGAAGGATTTAAGGGAAAGGAGACATCAGCTTCCCTCGGAGAAGATAAGTGAATGTTTTATGGAAAAGGTAGTATTTGAACTGAATTTTCAGGTGTTATTAAGAAAATGGTGGGTGGAGGTGGGGTAGGTATGTTTTAAGTAAAAAGAATGTCACTAATAATTGTATGGAGGTAGAAGGCATAAAGAAAAATGAAAACTTCAGTTTGAGGTATTCCTTATAGGAAAGCAGTGAAACTGGAAATGCATTTAGGGGCTTATGGATTGGTTATGTATGCATGTGCAGTTTAGGAGTCACGCTATTAACTCATTGCAAAACTAAATATAAGTACTATTGAGCTGTCCTATAATAGCCTGTATCATTTTGAATTTTCTTAAGACTCATTGCTACATAATGTGATATGTCTGATAATGGCAGTTTAATAATTTAAAATACTCATTTATCAAAGTTATATTCCTACCACCTTGATCTCACCACATACACCCAGTTCCCATAGTACTCATAATTGTTGATTGGTTGACATTATATTAAAATGTGAACTTAAATAAAATATCAAAAAAATAGATAAATTAATACTTCTAAAATGGTTTAAAGCACTCCTTAGTATGACTATGTTAAAATGCAAAGAAGCATATTTTTTTCTAATTTATATATCTATAAAAGCATGTTCAATATATTTATGAAATTAAAACTATGTGACTTTGTTTTCTTTTTAGGTAAGCCAGTAATGATAGTGACAGAATATATGGAGAATGGCTCTTTAGATACATTTTTAAAGGTAAGATTTGCAATAGTTTTTATTCATCACAACCATGACACCCCCAACACTGATGATTTGTTCATTGTATTTCCATGTAAGACTAATATTTCTTCTTTATCTTTCCAGAAAAATGATGGACAATTTACTGTAATTCAGCTAGTAGGAATGCTGAGGGGAATTGCCTCTGGAATGAAGTACCTTTCTGATATGGGCTATGTACATAGGGATCTTGCAGCCAGAAACATCTTAATCAACAGTAACCTGGTATGCAAAGTGTCTGATTTTGGACTTTCCAGAGTACTAGAAGATGACCCTGAAGCAGCATATACTACACGGGTAAGTTCTAACTATATCAATAATATGAGAAATCAGTCCCAGACCATCATACTAAAGGAAATTATGAATATTTTGTTTTAAATATTTTTATGTTCCTTAGATCATAGAAATAACTTGAACCAAACATCAATACTTCTGCCTTATAACAATAAATGAACTGGTGCCAGCAGATTATTTTGAATTACTTCAATTAATGTCCTATGATATTAAAATTTTATAATTAATCTCACTGAAAAAAAAGTAGTTTCTTTATATAGTTGTCTTTCAAAACACCTCCAGCCATATTCACACTAGCATATTTACCATGAATCATCCCCCATTGCTTTTCCCAGAAAAGAAATTAGGTAGCCCAATTTGATCTGGGTCATAAACTTCCGTTACTATAGAAAAATGCCTATGTTTCTCTCTTACATAATGTGTGTGTGTGTGTGTGTGTGTGTATGTGTGTGTGTATACACATAGTTGTGTGTGTATTTAAAGTTCATGCTCCAGGTGCACTTTTAAAGTCACCTTTCAGTAGCATTCAATTCCCTATTACCAAATTAAAAGCATTTCTTTTAATTTATCAACTATGTAAACCAAATCCCATGACAGAGTAGGTAGACACATTTGGAGAGACTATTTAAGGGATGTTGTAAGCCAACCCTTCTTTATTGAGAAGGAAATGATGGTTTTCTACCACCCTTTTTGTTGTTTCTTTACCTTTAAATTCCCTCTAAATATTTTGAATAGATCATTTCATTCACCTCAATGTTTTTTTTTCATTATATCACTCATGCGTAATAATTTCTAACTATGAAAGCTGAGGAGATTTTAATATAAATCCACACTCTTCTCATTTATCTCAGTTACGAGATTGTTTTAGGCAAAGGCATTTTTGACCGATATGATCTAGCCAATTTATTTAATTCTTCACTGGACCTTAGGTGGTAGATGGAGCCACAGAAGGAATATGTATGGATTTTTCTTAGCAGTTCTATTAGAGTAAGATTTGAGCTAAGAGGAAGACTACATTTTTGTTCTGAATCAAGGTCACAGATTGCTCAAAGTAGAGATTACAGGATTTCCAGTAGGACATATTCCAAGTAGTAACCCAGGATGTCATTCCCCTTTACCACATCCTATGTTGCTATCCCATTTTCCCATCAAATATAGATATGCAGTGGACCTTTATTTGTTAAAAAATTATAACCACTATTTTTATTAACAGTCATTAAGTTTTCCAGGTGTTATTGGTATGAACATACTCAATTTCACCAAGTCATTTATTCTGTGCTCACTTCACAGTACACAGAAATCTTAGCAGATTTGGAATGGATTTCTGAACGTTTAGACCAACAGATTTCAATTAGCAACTAAATTTATTTTGTATTTCTCGTAGTTCTGAATTATTTATTTATTCTTTAAAGACATAATGCATTAAAGCACTTTGGAAAAACTAGAAACACTATTTAAACATGAACTATTAAAATGATCTCAGATTCTTAATTTGAATGAAAGACCAATGGAAATCCGATGATACCTATACAATTATCAAATATCTATTCAGTTTAATTGAGCATATATTTACTAAGCATATCATTTGTAGAGCTCTGTGTTACAGCCACTGAGGGAACTAATACAGATCTCTGTCTGTATTAGACAATATTCTCAAAGGGAATATGATGCACAAATTACATATAAATAAATATAAATGATTGTCTATATAGTGAAGCAGATGTAAGTTAAAGAATCTAAAAGACCTTCCTATACTAGATGTACCATTATGAACAAGTATCTTAAACTCTCTCAATGCCCCAGGCAAAGCTTCAAGAATATGAATTGCAAATGAGTTGCCAATCTCTACTAGTAGGGAATGTTTACACAAAAGGAATCTATAGACTTCTTTCCCCATACCTCCTACTCCCTGTGTGTGTGTGTGTGTGTGTGTGTGTGTGTGTGTGTGTGTAAATCTTAGTTCATAAGGCATAGTCTTAAAATCTTTATCATGAAGTGAAAGTATCAATGTGTAACTATCAATATATCTTTTAGAAATTATATGAAAACAGTTATTTTTGTAAAATAATTATTTCACAAACTTTTTTTTAAAAAAAGTCCTTTGTAAAAGTTTAGCTGGGTTAGGGTTTTATGGTTATTAGTAGCTGCTTAGAAGAAGGAGGAGACAGTGGAGGTCTCTCAGACAATAGCTTTCATGGCTTTATTAGAGCATGGCTCTGACAGTTTTGACTAAATAAAGAACACATTCTTAATCTTCATAGAGCCTGCTCATCTGGAAATGAGTGGGATGCCACTCAATACTTTCTTCATATATGTTATGGCTCTATAGTCATGGTCTATAAATCACTTTTTAGCATATAATGTTAAACTTTTTTTTATTTCCTCAAATGGAAATTCTACCAGCTTATATCAGGGATTTCAGAGATAGAGTGCCTTCTTTACTCTTTGATATGAGTATGGTTGGTCTTTTTCCTAAGCAAATATTTGAAATTCACACGACTTTCTTTATCTCAAAAATAAAAACAAAATAGCTTACAAAAGGCAGCATTTGGTTTCCTAGGTTTGCCCCCCCCACAAAAAAAAAAACTAGGAAAAAATGCTTTCAGCTTGAACTAGTCAAGATTATGAAAATTATTTCCTCTTTGAATTGAGGGAATTTATTTTAAATCTTCCACTGCAGTTATCATACAGAATAAATTTTTTTAATGGAATACTTGGTGAGATTTGTCTCATGCTTTCATTTCCATTTATTTCCTTTGACCTGGTGATATCAAATGTGCTTCCCACACAAAAATGTGCCAGAAATATAAAACCAGAAGAAATAAACCAAGTGTGTGAACATATGCATGAACTTCCCACCCATTCACCGCTCCCACAGTGATATATTTGTTCTCATTTTCTGGCCTTCAGACATATCTTTACCTCCAGTTAAGCTCCTTAAAGGCATGTGAGGGAGCACTCAAACCTCTGGACTTTTTTTTTTATTTTCAATCCTTGTAAAATGAAGGTAGGAAGGGAAGAGAAAGGACTATAAAACATTTACGTTCCCTTTGTTTTTGTCTGAAAGTTATGAAAATATTCTTTACTGACCTGCTTGACTGCCTGCCTTCCCTTATTCATGGTCACCATTCAAAGCAACATAATTAAGATGTGGATCCTATATGTGCTCTGGCATTCAAACAGAATTTAAAACTACAGTACTTTCTGGACAGGCAATTAGTTGTCAGTCTACAAGTGTTCATAGCTAAGATATGCAGGAAGAAACTAAGTGCTGTCAAACAGATTTATTTTACAATTCTACATCTCTTTCCAAAGACTTTTAGGTGAGGAAACTGTATCCCTAGATGCCTCTAAGAAATGAGGATTGTTATTTTATTTGTTTATATAAGTACTTAACTTTCCTAGGGAGGAAAAATCCCAATCAGATGGACTGCACCTGAAGCCATTGCTTTCCGCAAGTTCACTTCTGCCAGTGATGTTTGGAGTTATGGAATCGTGATGTGGGAAGTGGTTTCCTATGGTGAGAGACCATACTGGGAAATGACCAATCAGGATGTGAGTACCAAACCAAATACATGGCCTTTGCTTATCAAAAATATGGATCTTTTGGTGCATTTTACCTTTTAAAAAGTTAAAAAATAAGAATTAGTTTATTTTCTCCCCAACCTTTCTTCCTCTGATAAAATTATTTTAGCTATTTTCCATTAATTATTATTCTACTTATACAGAAAAAGATATTTTAGATAAATAAAATTTATTTTCATCAGATGATTTAATTGTATGGCAGTCATGTTTATCTCTACTTTAGTCAATAATTACATATACATAAAGATGGAAAGGATCTCTAAAACCAAGTAAACAAATTTCCTCATTTAATAGATAAGAAAAACTTGACCTCAAATTAATTTCTCCTAAATGTCATAGTTTATAAGAGCTAGGATTTAAGCCCAGGTCTTTGATTGGAATACTTGTCTCTGCTGCTGGACTATAGTTCAAGCACTTTTAAGGAAGTACCCCAATCTAATTGACACAAAACACGTAGGTTTGACCTACTTTCTCCTCTAGCATTTGTGCAGTCCTTATTTTGATTAAGAGCTCGACTTTGGTACTAACCATATGGCCTTCTGGGAGTCCTTTTCTGAGCCTCAGTTTTCTAATCTGTAAAATTGTGTTGATGGTATTTAAATCACTTACCTCAAAGAAATGTTCTGAAGAAAGCATTTTGTTAATTTCAAATTACTGTATAAATGTGAGTTATTGATGTAGATGGCAAGATGACAGAAAATATCACATGAAGTGATAATACTCTGCTAAAACAGCAAAGCTATACAAATAGCCTTGATGATGCAGAGGTGACCCTGGTTCTGCTCACTTCACTGTGCAGCAGTTCATACATTTCTTCTTGTATTTGTCTCTGAAACCATCCCTTTAATTATTTCTTACAGAGCAAAAATATTTTATTACACTAACATACCATAATTTTTTTGGCCATGTCCCAATTGATAGGCATTCTTTTATTTTCCATTTCTTTCCCACTACACAAAGAGCTGGTATAACTATGTTTGTAAATATTCATGATCCTGTATTCTTATGTGGTAGCTGTGACATACTCTACCAAGCTTTGGATACCTGCTGTGAATGTGCTCCATGAATGTCTGTAGGTCTAAGACAAGCTTGAAGCTCACTTCTAGAGGGTTGGAAATAAGGTAGTGAATTTTTTTCACTCATAGAAACTGACAGAAATTATATGCTAAAACAAAATATCTGTGTAGGTATGTGGAACACACTAATGAATTAATAGAAATTTTGAATGTATTTTGTTTAATCTTTATTAACTACTCTAAAATCTTTTGTAGAAATTCTGAATCTGCTGCATATAGGAGTATACTGAAGCTTAGTCTCATCAGTTATTCCCCTGAATGCCCATTGTTGAGAAAAATGTGTGTCCTATGATATTTCCTTTTCTGCTTAAACCACAGATATTCAGCAGCTCCCTTTTCTATTAATAGTTGATTTTTCAAGCACATATCCACATAACATGAAGGAGGCACTATCTGAGCATTACAGATTCTTTATGCCCTTTATTATGTTTTGCCAGAAGAGGCAGCACTTTCTAAATTGAGTTAGCACTATTGATTTGAATGTCAATACAAAGAACAGGCATAGCTTATAACAAAACTTCATATGTAGCATGGGTATGTTGAACTGGTGCCAGCCTGTCTGCTACTCTTATTGCTGCCCTCCCTTTTTCTTCGCTAACTCAGAGAAACTTCCCTTTTTAAAAAATAAATTATTTAATTAATAAATAAAGTGCTTCAGGCTGACAAATGTAATAGGAGATGGTAGACCAAATGGGATTACAACTCTTGGAGTTTTATGATGAAATCCTCAGTAAAGGTAATGAGCTACATGATGCCTTGATAAATGACCAACCAAACCCCAGAATTCCTTTCTATAGATTATTGGCCTTTCCCCTGTGCAACCCTCCCACTCCATCCATACCCAGACTATAGCTATATCTGTATCTATATCTATATCTATCCATCTATCTATCTATCTATCTATCTATCTATCTATCTATCTATCTATCTGTATGTATATTTGTATATGTATATATATATATATATATATATATCATAAAGACATAAGGCATTCAAATCACCACTTACAGGTAAATCGAAAGATATACCCTATATTTATCTTCCTACTAGAAAGATTTCCCTGTCTTCTCCAAATTCTTAACACATTGCTCTCTTCTACACACTATAATCTAGCTGTACTGTTCTACTTGCTGTTCCTCTCATATGATGCTCCATCTGTCTCTCTTTCTTTTCCCTGGCTGTCTACAATACCTGCAATCTTCTCTCTCCTAAACTTTGGCTCTGATGGTACCCAGTTTCCTTCAAAATTCATCTCAAGTGCCACCTCTTCCAAGAGGCCTTTCCTGATCCTCATGGACAGTTACTTAATAATTATCTTGTATATACCAATTAGTATTTATTGTCTCCCCCATAAAAAAGTAAACTCCTTTTGGGCAGGGACTGCTTTTCTTTTTCTTAGCGTACTGCCTGACATACAGCAAGTACTGAAAAATATGTTGTGCTATGCTTATTTTTTTTTTACTGTTTATAAAGAGAGACATTTTTTTGTTTATAGTGATATTAATAATGATGCCCTCCAGGTAAGAAATTTTTCTGAAAAATTTCAAATGGTGATTTTTTCCATGTGAAGTGTAATATAAATCTTTTCCACTGTACTATCTATTAACTGAGAACAATTGATCTGTCTTCATTCTTCAATGCAATGGGATGGTTATTTCACACTCTTTTAGAAGAAAATCCATGCTATAATCTGGCTCAGTGGGATAAATGATAGCCTAGAAAGATATATTCAAATGCTAGCACTATTTCACCAATTACTCTTGGGAAAAGGGGAAAACCTTATTTAATTGTTTGGATTTCCTTGGGTGAAGCATCAAAGAGATGATTCAGGGATGCCTAATGAAGTACATTAGAAAGAATTGATTTAATAGGACATGAGGGACTTGGAAGACAATTCACTTCACTTCAAAAATGTGTATCTTATTTCTGTTATTACTCAATAGAATTTGACCTTTTAGTGAACAAATAGTGTGTCACTTTTCCTGTGACATTTAAATTAGCAGACACAAATTAGGACCAGCATCAAAGTTGGGTTGGGTGAAGTGTAAATATAACTCAGGATCAAATTCCACATCATAATAAGAAAATCTCTTGAGTAAAACTTTGTCCTTGTACCCTTGCAATCAAATTCGATTCAAACCGTAATGCCATTGAAACTACATTTTAACATTGCTCTAAAGAAAATGTAGGTATTAGTAAATTGACTTTGAATAATTGCAGTTCTTCTTATATAAATATTCAGAATAAGGTTTCTGAACTGTAAGATATCAGGGAATTTTTTCTTTTCTAGAACATTGATTTTATATAGTTTTTAATAATCATATTGCTGTCTCATATGCATGCTTATGTATACAGATTCAAACATGGCAACAAAACAAGAAGGCATTTTAATGGTTTTGCTCATTGACTGTCTAACTGTTCACAACATTTAGCTTCTTTTTTTCTGACCAAAATAACATTTCAAAAATAAAATTAACACAAAAATTTTGTTGACAAATTTTATATTGTTCTTGACAAGAGAAAAAATGATTTCAAAATGTATTTTTGTCACAGTTTCAGAATAATTTATCCAAAGTATCACAGTGCTCACTCTCTAATGGAGTCTCCATGTTCATACCCCTGTGTGCGTGTGTGTGTGAGAGTGTGTACATTTGTCTAATGAAGAAAGAGAAAGAACACAGTGGAAAAAGACATTGATTTTGGAGTCAAGGGGGAAAAAAAGTTTTATTCTTGGCTTGCCTACAAATTAGATTTATAGTGTTTGGTAATTCTTTGCCTTTCTGGGCCTCACATGTATCTATAATGTAAGAGGATTGGACTTGATAACCACCAAGGTAACATCTAATTATAAAACAAATTCTATAAATTATATGAGTATGTGATAGAAAACTAGACTTATATAAACATCCTATAATGTCTTGCCCCCTATTTATAGGTGTGTCCATTATATATAATCACATAATCTATATAGCCACAGTCAACAACAGGGCCATTGCCAGTTACAGTCAATGCAAAGTGCAAAGTGGGTACTAGTCCTGTATTACAGGGATGCCTTTTTCAAATTTCTCCTCAAAGGAGTAGAATTACTTTTACCCAGCCAACATGAAAACCCTACTCTATGTTGTTTCTGTTCAGTCAGCAGTTTGTTTTCTGAGTTTAGCAGAGCCATTTTCCTAAAAAAGGAACTGAATTTTCTTTGTAGCTGACAAATTGGCATAATATCACACTCCGTGAAATTCAGGTAAAACTTTTGGCCTCTATAGGTTACAATAGAGTATTAACAATCAGGGCCCATGGCCATTTCCCCTGGCATGACTAGTAAACCTATTGTAGAAGCATTATCTAACTCACTCTTTCTACTTATTTGGAGATGTCTAGGTCCTGAACTTCTGGCAATTATATAAACACTGAAGAGGACAATAAAATATTCCTCAAATTTATTTTTGAAAGCTCAAACTTTCAAAAGAACATTCTGCATGAGAAAATAACTTATCTCTGTAAGCTTCAGTTTTCTCATCTGTAAAACTGGCATATTCATTCTTGTATTATCTGCCTTATGATAAGGATCAAATGAGATAATGTATGTGGGTTTTGTGACTATGAAAAACTCTTGAAACATAAGACATTATTTTTCCTTATATTTTCATAAGAATTATTTTTATCAATTTAATCTGTCAGTTCTTCAATGATATTTGTAGCATGACCTCATTTTCTCTTTCCTAGTGGTAGTACAATCTAATCACATTTAATATCTATTATTTGTTTTCAATATAATTTTGTCTTTATATAAATATCATTTACTTATCAATACATGTTTATATAAAATGTCTGATCTTTGACCGATTTAAAATTAACTCTCTCATCCCATTATCATTTCCCAGAGTTGATACATTACAACAATTTTCCTTAATCATCCACCCCTGGGGCAGTTTTAGTAATTGATGGTTCATATTTTGGGGTTGGGTGGACAAAGAACAACCCACAGAAGAAGATAAATGAGAAAGGTCAGAAAAGTGACAAGAAACAGTAGAGAACAGTGTACTACAAGCCAAGGTGGGAAATATCAAGAAAAAATTATTCTTGGCACCATTGAATGAATTTTATTTTTTAATATCAAAATTTTAATTATTATTCCTGTGATACCTGTCCTCTGAGGAAAACAATAATTAGTATAAAAACATGACTAGAAAATTTTATTAATTAGGATATAATTTGACAGGAATATTATGACATTGTCCATTGCTATTTATATTTGATACCACTTTAAGATTTAAAAAGTCTTTATCTGATTGAAATCCATATTTTTTATACTACAGAATAAACAAATATATTTTAATAATACATAGTAGCATTTCATATTCTAATTTCTTTAGAATGAATATATATTTTCAAAAATAACACAAAAACAGAAATATGTTTCTTCTTGCACATGTATATATTGAAAATCAAGCATAAAGTATTCCACTTTTAATGTGCTTGGTAGTGTGCAGTCATTCCAGATTGCAGGCAGTACTCTGTGGCTGATTATAAGCAGCCAGACTCTTATATATTGAATGATACATGAGATAGTTATGTTCTTTAGCTTTGACTTATGTGTCATTTAGCACACAACTTTGCTTTGACACAGTATTGTAGATTAATTATTTTACAATAAGTGTGTGTCTGTGCTTAAATGTTCATTACAAAAATACCATTCAGATAACACTTCTGGAAATATTCAAATATTTAGAAAACTAAGACAAATAAAAAAGAAATATGTATGCCTATATATTTCTCAAAAAAATTAAAAATCATCCATTTTAAGTAACAATAATTTTCATTCATCCTTCTTATAATTTAACTACATAGTTCATGTTTAGTTTTCTTGATTTTTTTAAATAGACATAATTTGTTCATTTTTATTATATTGCCAACCTTCATGAGCTTCCCCTATATTATTTTGGCAAGGAATAAAAAAAGATAAGGAACGCAGTGGAAAATCTTTCCCAGCAGAAATCTTAAATTTCTGGGATTAAAAAAAAATCTTCTTGGTCTTACTCAGGTAATCAAAGCTGTTGAAGAAGGATACCGTCTGCCAAGTCCCATGGACTGTCCTGCTGCTCTGTACCAGTTAATGCTGGATTGCTGGCAGAAAGACCGAAACAGCAGACCCAAGTTTGATGAAATTGTCAGCATGTTGGACAAGCTCATTCGTAACCCAAGCAGCTTGAAGACACTGGTTAATGCATCAAGCAGGTACAACAATAGCCCAAGAAATTTTCTTGAATACAGCAAATATTGACCAATTTCATACTCATTTTTTCCTCATCATGTACTACAAAAGCAAGAGCAAATTATTAGATTTCCAAATACAAATAAGTTCAGAGAAGAATAGGATAATTGCATATTGAACTATAAATCTGTCTACATCTGTACATATGTAAGTGTATATCTATGTATATGTATGTGTACATATAATTATATTAATGTGGTAGTACTAACATTCCCCTGCTATACTTGTCCCTTGCTGAAATTTCTTCCACTCTTTTTTTGTGTATTTTTAGATTTTTCATAGATACTCTTTTCTTATTTTCTTTTTCATCGTTATTGCTACTCTATTCTACTTCCTCCCATCTCACCTTTCCCCAAAACACTTGTGACAAAAAGGTAAACTGAGAAAAAACAAATTGGGTTGTACTGGTTGTTTCTGAAAAGAAATGTCTTATTCTGTACCTATCATCTAGTCTCCAAGAGGTGAGAGGCTTCATTTTATCATCAGTCTTCTGGAGTCATAATCAGTTATTGTACTGGTTCAAGTTCTTAAGCCTTTTTTGATAATATTGTGGCCATAGTAGAAAGAGCTCCCCTGGTTCTGCTCACTTCATTCTTCAAAAATATATGAATAAGCTATGTATAAAATAAAGAAGAAATAATTAAAAAGAGAGAAGGCAAGGAAAGTAAGAGTTAGCTTATTCTTTAAAAAAATTATACTAATTCTCTATGTATATTAGAGTTCAACTCTTACACAGAGAAATTTGGTTCAAATATTTGCCCCATTAAATGTTTTGCTTCTAATTCTAACTATATTGCCTTTGTTTGGGAAAAAAAATTAAATTTCATATAATTAAAATTGTCCATTTTTATTTCTTGTGGTATTTTCTCTCCCTATATTTGTCAAGAACCTTTTGCCATCTATAGTTGTAAGATATTCTATTCTCTTCAATGGTTTTTAATACCTTTAATATGTATACAAATCATATTTGTTTTTGTTTTCTATAAATTGTTTTCTCTGCATTATGTAGTTTGTCTATAATGGGACCACAGGTTTATAGCTGGAAGCAACTTTATAGGAGCCATCTAGACAGAAATACAAATGTGAGGTCTGGAGATGCTCAGTGATTTGCCCAAGGAAAAATAGTTCAAAAATGACAGAGCTGTGATGCAAATCAAAGGCCATTTGTTGAAAATCCAATTCTCTTTCCAAAGTAATTCTCAAAATAATATCTATACTTTATCAATTATAAGATCATTCAGTTCAATAATGTTTAAATTTTCATTTCTGATTTAGAAAAAAATAATATGACTTTCTTGAAACTGTAAATATTTATTGAGTTTGTAATACTTATAGTTGCCCTTCATATAACACTTTTAAGATTTTGAAAGTGCCTTAATCTAATTTAATCTTAAAAACAACCTTGACAAGTAAATATTATTATCCCTACTTTGCAAATGAACAAACTAAGGCAAAGAGAGGTTAACATAGTGACACAGTTAAATCCACTGAGAAAAGCTTCAAACTCAGGTGTTTCTAAATACAAGTTTTACACTGAACCATGTAGCTACTTTTTTATGTATTTATGTTAAAAAAAATTTGAATCAATTACTTAGTGGAAAACTTGTGATATACAGGAAAGTTGTTTTTCAGTTGTATCCAACTATTTATGACCCCTTTTGGGGTTTTCTTGGCAAAAATATTGAAGTGGCTTGCCATTTCTTTCTCCAGCTCACTTTATAGATGATGAAACTTAGGCAAACAAGGTTAATTCATTTGCCCAGGTTCACAGAGATAGTAACTGTCTGTGGCCAGATTTGAACTCAGAAATATAAGTCTTTCTGACTTCAGGACTGGCACTTTATCTACTATGTCACCTTGCTGCCCATTGCAAATCTACCTAAGCAATTAAATGTTTCATCTCCCTTATGTCAAAGAGTGATTATTTTAAATTATTTTCCTATTAACCTCCACACAGAGAATGTTTTATATGCACTCAGAAAAATTCTTATTGCCTACTAAATTTTACATGTAAAATTGGCAACCATTCCATGACTTTCCATGAAATTCATGTCATACAATTCAAAGGACTCAAAACCATGACAGATGAGCAATCATGGAAAGTGTACCAAAAAGAGAACAATTATGGCATAATTGCTCACTTTTCATGTCCTTTTTTTTTTGCTATAGTCTGGGCCTGACTGAGGCTGATTCCCTATTATCTTAAATCTAATATTGGAATAAAATAATACTCTAATCAGGCACTTATTGTTGTTAAGTTGTTTCAGTGATGTCCAACTCTTCATGGCCCCAGTTGGGGCTTTCGTGGCAAAATGCTATTTCCTTCTCAAGCCTATTTTACAAATGAGGAAACATACAAATAGGTCTAAGTGACTTGCCTAAGGTTACTGAAAGGGTAAATGTCTTAAGCCAGATTTGAATTTGTGTCTTTCTGACTCTAGATCTGGCACTCTATCCACTGTACCACCTAACTACCCTGTCAGCAGGTACTTAACAGTCAACAAATTGAGTTTTACTTGCATAGAAAATATACTCAACAAGGATATGATATTTAACTCAGGTAGATATAGCCCTTCTTCCATATGAGCCATCTGTCTGATCAGCTGGGTAGGTTGTGGTGATTTACTCAACCTTTGGGCATCTGCTAAATCTGAAGGTCAGGTTGACTCCACTTTGGTGGGCCTTTTTATGTAATCAAGTTAATAGCAAACCATGTCAAACATGTAAGGTCCACAGAACAATGCATCATCAGTAAGGGTGAAACTGGTTCAGCTCCCTGGGGCAATCAAATCTTGGAAATAACTTCCTTGCCTTTTATAAAAAGAAAAGCCTAACCAGTATAGAAGGGGGAGTAAATTCTGGTTGACATTGTCCCTATCACAGGCATGTTGGGGCTTTGTACAATTTCCTTTACTTATGAAATTTTCATTTGCTTTTACTTAAGTCATGTCTTAAAAATAGCTTATGTGACTATATTATCTTCTTCTTTCCTGCTATGTTCCCTACTTCCCTCCTGTGGAATCTTCCTTATATTGCCAGAAAGGAAGCAGCATCAACAGCCCAGAGCTGCATTGACAGCACATTAATATGAGTTCAGGAACATCATAGAATGGGCAAATTAGGTTAAATAAATGTTTTGTATATTATGTGAAATTTGTTTACTAGGAAAAAGCCATTTTACAAAGTAGGAATGAATCTTCCATGTACCATTAACTCTCTAAAGAAGCAATTGGAGAGTGAATCTTATTAGCAATTAGTTTTAATGTCATTTCCCACAAATTAGCAATTGAAAAGGTCTGAGGTGATGTCAAATATGAAAGACTTCTATACTTTCTTATCTTGGGTAGTTTTGATTTGTTGGCATCAGTTAGTCACACCTGGACATATAAATAATAGCACAGAAAAGAAAATTAACAACAAATGATTTCTTACTATTATGGTTGTTAAGGATTTATTTACATCATATTGTATTATGGCTCCATTTGATTGCAAATAGTTCCATTTCCAAATTGACTTCAGCTTTATTCATTAGAGCAGTTCATTATTCAAATGTCATTTTCCTCTCTGTGATCATCAACATTCCAGTGTGGCTTGATATCATACTAGCATGACAGTTTGCTTTGATCTTTGCCCAGGGGTTTGAAGTTGTTTTTTGGTTCATAAGTTCTACACCCAGGGCAATTCAGTCTACATAACATCATTCTATAAAATCACATTAAAATAATGGGTAATTCTAAGAATTCTGAAGTAATCAGCACATGCTTGCTATATCTATGCAGTTTTTGTTTATTTGTTTGTTATAGTAAAGACCAGAAACAACTGATCACATAGGACAACAGTCCCCATTTATCTGTTCTTGAAATGAACAATTCCAACAAGATATTACTAATGTATTTGAAAGATCTGTTATTTAATTGTGGGTTCTCTCTACTGACCAAAGATCACAACTTATCTGTAATTTAATAGATAAATCCTAGATTTTTACTTAAGGTGCTGAAAAGTCACATAAATAGCCCAAGGTAACAAAACATATAAGTCAGAGATAGGACTTGAAACCAAAATTTCCTTATTCTAAAGCTTGCCTGAAGATTATCTAAATGTGTAATATTTGTGAATTCATATAATTCTCATTTATGTATCACATTTATATGCTGGGTTGCCGGTAATTACCTTGGATTAAATTCATGTCTATTGTGATTAACCCTAAAACATTTTGTATAATTTTTTTAAAGGGGGAGGGAGAAAATATTTTACATGCAAACAAAAAAAATATTATAAATGTAAAAACTTCTTGATATGGCTGAAAATACTGATATACTTTCATTACAAAACAAGTCATTCATAATTTTTTATGTATTTTAGAGTATCAAACTTGTTGGCAGAACATGGTCCACTAGGAACTGGGGCCTACAGATCAGTGGGCGAATGGCTGGAAGCGATCAAAATGGGACGGTATACAGAGATTTTCATGGAAAATGGATACAGTTCAATGGATGCTGTGGCTCAGGTGACCTTGGAGTGAGTAATTTTTTTCTGATAATTTTCACATTACTTGTGGGGAAAATCAAATTATTTGAAAATCAGTATGGACAGGGCCAAGGGAAATCAGATAATCTCTGTCCATTCTCAACAGCTTCCAAAGAAGCATCATCTTTTTTTTTTTAAATTCTTTTAGTCTGTGTCGTTGTTAACCAATAAATGCATGGTAGAAGTCAACTTGAAGTCAATGTCACTTATCTCCAATACATTTGCTTCTTTATCTTAAGCAAATAGCATTTGGGTTTGAATAAATGGAAGACTAGTTCTCTAAGTATAATGCTGCTTTGTGTTGTGAAAAAAAAGTTTTTTTTTCTTGACACAGTTTTTATATTACTATATAAAATAAATGTTAAATGAATGTAAATAAAAAAATAATGCAAGCACAATTGGTATGGCTAGTCCTATGAAGTGACAGAAAATAAGGAACTACACGTTGTCATGTTGACTCTGTTTAATGATGCCCAGGTAACACCAAACTTAATAAAAGCTGATGTTTTCTCATTGGATTGATAGGTGGTGTGCATTTGCATTTTAAGAGTGCAAGAATTCATCAGATGCTACCATTACTTAGCTCTTTGGTGCAAGCTCTGTAAAACCAATTGTGTCTGTCTTTTTGCACGTAAAAGATTTAATTGATCAAATCCTAAGAAATAAAAATCACTACAATTAACTGGTGAATTCCCTAATGTTGTCTCTTTGAATTTTTAATTATCTTTTCTATATGTACAATTAATTTAACTTTCTCTTTGTTATTTATAAAAATTGGCCATTATTAGGGTGGTAGAGTAGAAGGTTTTTTTTAAGTTAAATTATGAAAGTTATGAAAATTGATGGAAACTTGTTGTAAAGCACTTATTTTGAAGAGATAGTTCTATTCATAAATTTCCCTGTTAAAATAACATTAGTGAAAAGGGGTTAAAATGCAAATTAGCAATTATTTTTTAAACTTGTGGTGGTTACCTGGGATAATGTGAGGTAGATTAAGTTACTTGCCAAGGCTTACATAGCCAGTATGTATCAGATTTAGAATCTGAATCTAGGTCTTCCTTGCTCTGAGGCATTGCTTGGAAGACAGATTTGCCCAAGAGCATTAAAATCACACACACACACACACACACACACAAACACGCACACACACACACACACACACACATACACACACACCCATATATATGAAAGAGAGAGATTAAAGAAGGGTGCTAAAATTATTCCAAGCTCTATATATGCCTCATATTCCATCTTCCATTCACTTTCCCACTAAGCATTTTCTAACCAACATCACAATCTTAATATTATTGCACTCCTAACAGTGGCCAAGATCATGTGATTTCTATAGCTTCAGCATTTCACATATTCAGAATCCATTATTAAATGGGCCTGAAACCTCAGTTTGTCCTTTTCCCAAATTCCCTGTCCCCACAATATACAAACAATAGCTACCTAATCTCATATAGAATATATACTCTCTTGGTCCTGACTCTACAGGATTTATGTCAGTGCTACTTTGCAAATAGTGGACTGAAAGAATTACTGATTATTTAAAGATATTTATATATGATTATTTAATTTTTCACTAAAATGTCATTTTAATTTATTAAGTTCATTATTTGTCATTTTATATTAAAATGATATTGTAGGTATTTCTTCTACCCATTGTCAGATTACTTGTAAATGTATAATAAACATATTTGCGTTAAATGATGTCTCCTTCTGTCATTAAAACTGCTATGTATTTAAATCTTTTAAAATTCATGTCCTGTCTACTACTCCTCTCATTATTGAACTCACATTAAATAATCTTGCAACAGTTTCGAATTTCTTCTTTTCTTCCTGCGAGGACCATTTCCTTTTATAAACAAAAGCTTTATTTGAATCTTTGTTATTTTCCATAGTCATATTCTTATTTTATTTCTGCACCTATTTTTATTGCTTTTTTCTTTAACTGGTGATTTCCTTTCTTTATTCTGGGTCTATATATTTTTTTCTTTTGTATTTAATTCCCGTTTTACCACTGACTCGCACCTTGGTTCCCTGCCTGATTAACTACTCTTGACTTACTATAGGGCTTTCATACTTCTGCATTCTTGATATATCATCTCTACCCACTTACTCTCCTGTCTTTTTATGTCCTTGATGCTTAGGTGGAAGAGTAAGATAAAAATGAAGCTCTTCAGAGAACTTCTCAAAGACCTTGCTAATTATAGTCTTTGTCAGTCTCAACAGTAGTCAGACTTAGAGGGTCCATAGATAGTAAGGGACTTGGGCAGCCGCTGTCCACAACCTTGACGTGATACCCACGCCTGACTGTAAAGAAATAGCTGTTGTGTGAAAACATTTATCTTAAACTCAGATCCCTTTATTTACTGTCCCTTTTCCAAATATTCTTTACTAATTTCCAGACTATTTTCATTGCAATAGAATGCTAAATAACTCATAGAAAGAGATGAACAGGTTAAGCATATAGTCAAGATTAGAGGTGGGGAAATAGACTTATCCATTCATTTTGCTGGTTCTTGTTTAAAAAAAAAAGACTGAGATATTCTAAAACTCCCAGCTGTTGAAAAAATGAACTGGGAGACAAGCAAAAGGAACAAATAAGCTTTTAGAAATCAGGTATTGATTCTGTGCAATCATTATTCATCATATTTAAATTTTAATTTTTATGGTGCCTATCATCAACGCAAAGAATGGGCTACACAAAATTAACAAACAAAATATTGTGTACTGAAACACTGCCAGGCCAAGGAGGAGAACAAACTAGAATTTGAAAGAGCACTTTTACAACAGCCCTGGATCAGATAATTACACTCCAAATCAAATCCCAGCAAGCTAAAGAGCCCTGGATGCCAAAAGCTAATCAAAGGAAATAGGTATTGCCTTGTCCTATCAAACCCAGTTTTAGAGGGAGACATGGAACACACCACTGTTTATAACATCACTGGGTAATAGGATTAAGAGCTGAAAGAAATCTTAGAAATCATCTATCTCAATACCCTCATTTTACAGGTGAGGAAAGGGAGTGTGGGGAGCAGAGCTTAGAGCAGCAAGCTTCCCTACTTACATCTTGGAACGTAGATAGTTGTAAATAGACTAAAGAAAGGTTTTGTGTCTCACTCATTCTACTGTGCTCAGGAAACATTACTATTTGTGCATCTCAGAACCTAAATGTTGATATTTGATGATATCGAGTACCCATATGACTAATAACCACGGCAATGACAAAAACATGTACTCTGTTCTACAATACAGAATTGCAATGCTATAGTGTCTACAGGAGGACTTTGTGTTCTAGGTGAGTTGTGAATGGAATCCAAAGATGTAAGTTAAGGAAAGAATAGCAGCTTGCTTTCTGAATTGCCTATCAGACCTACACAGTCACCTTTTGATTATTTATATAATGGAGCCAGTGTCAATATAGAATAAAATAAATCATGGACAATGACAGTATAGGCAAAGAAAATAAAAGTGATGACGTGTTACATTTATTTTTTAAGGTTATGTATTTTATATTGTTAAACTGTACATGCTTTTATATAATGAAGTCAAATATTTGATATGAATCATTTCAGCTCTTTTACAGCAGAGAGAGAAGCATCATAATTAACATTATGATAACATATCTACATATGCATAATATTCTGCACATTATAAGTGTGGGTATAAACCTCTAGGAACTTCTCATCTAAATCAGCAAAAAGGTGGGGTAAGTGTTCCCCATCCACTAGTTCTGACTCCTAGTAAAAATAGATTTATCCCACAATCTCAATACATAGTTTAAATCAGCCTGAAAATTTTACATAGTCCAATTTAAAGTTGTAACTATGGTGAAAGACTACAGAGACATACTGAGTTTTAATGTATATGTATTTAATAATTCTCCTCCCTTCTTTTATCCAGCCACTGGTGGTGGGTCTAGTGAGAAGTGATAAACCTCAGAGCTGTGTAAAACAGAAGGGAGAAATGCAAGGGCTATGGATAATCCACAAACCAGATAAGTCAGTTCTGAGTAATTGAGTTGGTTGAAACATGAATTTAACATTTTTTGTTCTGTTTTTCCCACTCTGCGTGTTTAAAGATTTAAAAATCAAACAGCTCTGACTGGTATGAACTAAAGAAATATCGTAGAAAATCATATTAGATGGTTTCTGGACTTTAATCACACCCAGTGGCAACTCATCACATTCATAGTTCTTCCCAAACTTATCATATATTGTCAGTTGAGCTTGAATTGTACATTATGTAATAATGGTATTCTCATGTATGAACCTATAAGTCTCTATTAAAGTATAATTCTTGTATTCATTAGAATTGGCCTTGAGTATTACTTAAGATTACATGGGGTGCATAGTAGAAATTAAAATAACTTGATGATTATGGATGAACCAAAACATGACGTATTTATGATTCTCTCTAGCTATGTGTTACCTGGTGCTATCTAGTACAATAAGGCCAATAAAAGGGCACATCTGGGCTCCTAATGCAAAAGCATTTACTGAAAATCTTTCCAAGTGACGTCTATGCCAGTGATTTAGCCATAAAAAGCATACATATGTATTTTAAATTTCACTCTTTTATTACTATTGATTTACTCAGTTGAGGTATAATTTAGGAAGAAAATTATGAAATCATAAAATGAAAAAAGTAAAAGAAATAGCACCAGGTATAAAAGTAAAATTAATTAAAAGCTAACTATTTTATGGCACTCTCTTATTACCCAAATACATAGGGAATATATTTAAGGGCACACCTACCATTAAAGTTGTTTCAAGTTTCTAGTATATAGTCATGAGAAGACATTAATAGTGATTTTCAGAAAGCTTGAATATAAAAATAATGGTACAAATTATAATTGCTATATGATGTATTCCCCTGCACCATGTATATTAATCTTTGAATTTTATAATGCTACCTAAATATATTGTTTAATTATGATGCAAATACTTTTTAAAACTTTCTAGCATTTTTTCAGAGCATGATAGGGAAAGCCAGATATAGCAAACAGTTGGACACCATAGAACTATTAAATATACTTCTGTCCTAGAAGTGAGAAAATGGAGTATTATAATTTACTAACCCCTTTCCTCTCATAAAATTTATGTCTGTGGAAATGTCTGGGTTTGTATCTTTTCTTTATGTACCTCAGCAGTGAAAAGAACAAAAATGGCTTGTATAATAAAATGCTGTGATGGGTTTAAAGAAAAGGAAGGAAGGAAGGAAGGAAGGAAGAAGGAAGGAAGGAAGGAAGGAAGGAAGGAAGGAAGGAAGGAAGAAAAGAAATGAAGGAAAGATGAAAGGAAGGAAAGAAGGAAGGAAACGTCTCTAAAATAAAACCTAAATCTTTTACATGCTTTGAAGAGCAGATTTTTCTTCCATAAACAAGGAAGCTAGATCTGCAACAATTATTCATATAAAGTCATTAAGGATAGTCCCTCTTGTCAAGATGTGGAAGTTTCTTGAAAGTCCAGATTCTATATAGAATTTAATTTAAGTCCCCATAGAGTAAGTCACATAAAGTAAGTCTATCTGTATCTAAAATAGTCAATTCTATAAAGGAAAAAAAAAAGATAAACTTATTACTGGATGTGGGTCTTCAGTTGGTTAACATAATAGTGTAGGTATGTAGTTCTACTTTTTTCTTTAACACTTTTGGTATTGGGTAAACATAAAGCAATTTAAGTACTTAGGGAGAAAAAAAAATTTGTTTCTTTGGGGCGATTAGGTGGCTTTGTGTATGTCTACTTTTTTGAATATCTGTCTCTTTGTCTACAAAATGGGCCTAACAACACTTGTACTCCCTACCTCACAGGGTTGTTGTGAGGAATATATGAAATAATGTAATTCTAGAACTTTGTAAAATATTAAGTACTGTGTAAATTTTAGCTATTAGTTGCATTGTTACTGTTAACATTATCATACATTTTTATATCTCCCTAAAATATGGCATCTATGAAATTACTTTTGCTGTTAGCAATTATAGAACTCTAGAGAATTCAAACTTTAACATCTAATTTAAAAGATTCAATAAAATATACAGGAAGGCATTAGATTGTTTTCAGAGTAGTGAGTCATACAGCTTTTTAAAAATTACCTTTTTTAAGGGGCAGCTAGGTGGCACAGTGGATAGAGCATCAGCCCTGAAGTCAGGAGGACCTGAGTTCAAATCTGGCCTCATACCTAACACTTACTACCTGTGTGACCATGGGCGAGTCACTTAACATCAATTGTCTAAAAATTTAAATGACTTTTTTTCCCAAAAGTTCATCTATCTGTGCTAGACATACATTTTACATAAACCAAACAAATTTTATATTCTCATTATCTGAGATTGAATAGCCATAAACACCTTTGCATATGGTATCTCCTATATTCAAGAGAAGTAAGCAAAGTTAGCATTCAATCTAAAATTCCCATAAATCTGAGATTGTGTGGCCAACTGCATAGCCAGAGGAAGAGGTTTCATTTTATCTGACTCATATTTTCAAATTAATTTACATTTTTTATTATACATAGGTAAAGGCAATGAAGTTTCATAATATTACAGGCATTGTTTAGTCATTTTTCAATTGTATCAGATCTTCTTGAACCCATTTGGGGTTTCCTAGGCAAAGATACTGGAGTGGTTTGCCATTTCTTTCTCTAGATCATTTTTATGAATGAGAAAACTGAGGGAAACATGAATAAATGACTTTTCTAGGGTCACATAGCAAGTAAATGTCTAAAGCCAGTAACCCATAAAGAAGAATCTTCCTAACTGTAGGCCCAGCACCCTATTCACTGAATCCTAGCTACCCAGCATCACAAAAGGAAAGATGAAAAGAACCTCAAAGTCACCCATTTCCCCTGCCTCTTTTTAAAAGGAAATAAGCACACAACTTGGTAGTGTTAAAATGAAAATAAAAACCAAAGCCTTGACTAAATTCCACTACACTATGCTGTTACAGAATTTGTTATTTTATAGTAGAGTTATTCATTTTATAATTAAATTTACTTTGTTTAGAAAATAGATTTTTAAAAACTTTTTTGAAAATGAGAATGAAGACTAGAGACATTTAATCTTCTATTTCTAGTATTATGACTCTCACATGAATACAGTTTATCTTAGTAAGTATAAACACAGATAATTTTACAATTAATTATCCTCCATTACCTGGTAAAGATTCATCAGGGGGAGATCAACGATGTTTCATCCCCAGTGATAAATTGGTCCCATTTTTTTTCTTACTACTTGTAATAGACACTTCCTGTTACCCATGCATTAAGGGAAGTAGAATAAAATTAAATATGTTTGAATATTAATATTTATGACATCAGATTATACTAATACAAACCAACTTCAAGATGTCCTTTTAGTTGTTTTCCAAAAATTTTTTTATAATGAAAATTTTTAGGTATGATATTTAAAACTGCTGAAAGTATTGACAACTAGTCTGCCTTCGTTATTAAACCATTCAAAATGGAATGCTAGTTTTACACACAACAAAAATAATTATAAAAAATAAAAATAATACTGAGAGTAACAAAAAATGTATCAAAGTTTTATTTATTTTCCCTAATTCATACGGTACTTATCCAAATTGTAGTAGAATTTTCCAAGGATTTAATGGGTGCATAAGATTTTTAAGGTGACAAAGTTATTTTAAAATTCCCACTTCACTTGTTAATTGCTCTTTTGAGGAATGATAATCATTCTCTAACAACATAAAATTAATGATTGTCCTATGATGTAATCTGCAAGAATTATGGGCTCTGATTTCAAGTTCTATTCATAATGTGCTAACTTGGCATGGTACTATGAATATTTCTCCTGTGCTTTTGATTATTAAAGTTGATTAACAGATGATCATGAAAAAATATCCCCTTGGTTGAAAATCCTTTCTCCTCTCATGTAATCTTTCTTCATAATGCTTTTAATGCCAATATATTTTACTTGTTATTTGGTAAAGGAAGAAAGCATTCATATATCATTTGTGTATAAAAATGAACTTTTGACAATATTTTGAAAGTACTGTGATCATAAATGGATATCAGACAATAACATTTATTGAAAGTCTATATTGACTGAATCTGTCAGTGCACTTCCTCAGTGCAAAAATCAGTGTTAAATATTAAGGTATATATCAGAATTGAAAAAATATGTGCATCCAATATCACATAAACATGGAGATGGATATTCAACTTCTTATCCAAATATGAAAAAAAAAGTTTTCTGCCTACTTCTTTTAACAAAAATGTCCTTTATGAGGCCACATTTTAAAAACTATTTTGCGAAAATTGTTCCCTCTTAAATTTATGTCTCCATGTGCAAAATTTCATGCTCAACTACTACAGAATGTTAAAAGTATATTACAAAAGAATATGTACACAAAGAAAGATTTTCCAGGCACAATTTTGAAAATTTGACCTCCAGAATTTAACATTGAAATGACAATCTGTTTCTGCATAACATTTGCCACTTTCTCAGTGCAAAAATCAATGTGAAATATTAAGGTGTACAACGAATTGAATAAATATATCCACCCAATATGTGCTTTCTTCATGCAGGGATTTGAGACGACTGGGAGTGACTCTTGTCGGTCACCAGAAGAAGATAATGAACAGCCTTCAAGAAATGAAGGTCCAGCTGGTAAATGGGATGGTGCCATTATAACTCTGTTTTGACGTCACTTCCTGAAGTGATTAATTCTGCACTTTGTAAACTAGCCGTGAGATTTATTTTGACAAAAAAGAACAGAAAAAAAAAGAAACTGATTCCATAAGCTAAGGCAAGCAAGGACCTTAGCCACAAAATTTGTAACCAGTATTTGATGAAAATATCCTTTACTTTCTTTTGTCTTTATTTTTCATGAAGTAAAAATACAACATGCATTAAACAAGGAAATGGTTATACCATGGTTCGTTTAACCATTTTCTTATGCTTCTGCAAAAACAAAGTCCTTCCCACAACACTTTGTACATGGAATACAAAAATATATATAAAGCACCTTTATATCCTGACTTATGGCAGCACATGTTAATACTTCCAATGACTTACTTGAATGGAAACGGTTTTGTGGCCATTTGTGGGCTAACAAAAGCTGCAGTTTATTGAAGTTTACTTCAAGTCTTAATTGTCTACAAAAGTGTATTGAAGAGCAATATGATTAGATTTTTTCTTAATAGATATCTTGTTTTATAAATTTAAATGCTGTTACACAGCATTAAGTTATGAAGACTAGTGTATAAACATATTGCTTGATTAATGCAAATACAATACAGGGTGTATATTTATTTTTCTGTGTTATAAAATTGGGTTTAGTTTGCTCTTCTGGAGATTATTACTGAAAATGTCTGTATATTATGTACAGTTTGCTACATACCCAGATATACATTTGGGTTGGGGGTGGGGGTCCTAATGGGGATTCTGTGTATGCTATACTCTGCTTGTATTTTTGCCATTGTTTTGAATCTAGCAGCATAGAAGAACAAGTTTTAGGCATTTAGAATGCATATAAGAAAAGCAAGAGTACAACTAAAAATGAAACAAGTTTGTCTTTTTATCCCCTCTCTCCACATGTCCAAATGGCATTAAATCTCTCTATCCACTAACAGAAAATGTCTATAAGATTAAATTCCCTTTGGCTTTTTAAAAAACACTTTGTGATATCTGTGACAATGCAGTTCTTCTAGCCATTAATCTTGCTCCACCATAAGAAATTTCACCTTTTGGAATCACTGAAAATATCTTGTCAGGAAAAGTTGACACCAAAGGGCACATTGTCAGTGGGATGTAGAGGGATTTAACTGTGTGAGTTCCTATTAATATTGTTAAATCCATGGGCACAGCTCTAAGCATTTACCCCTAAGTGTTAATCCTTTGTAAGCAGTGCCATTGTGGCTCTGCCACGTAATTTTGATATAAAAGCAGCACTGGGACAGCAACTAGCATATATTTTGCCCCAGGATTCCCTTTGACCTATGTCTTCCAAAAATTGTATTTGCAGATAATTGGTTATTTATATCATAACTGCAGCTCTCATTCTGTTATGCGATAATGATGCTTTGGGGAATAGAGTTCTGTAGCAGTTGTATACATGAAAATACTTAATTTTCTTTAAAATATTCAGTGTTATTTCAAAGACAAGAAGAAAATGTCAAATGTATAAATCCAGGAAACCACATCTGGTGATGATTGGCAAAAGCAGATCCAAAATAATGTAAGATAGTCCAAAAAAGCTGTGGGAGTGTGATCATGCAAACTGGTTTACCTAAAAGCTTATACATTTTATGTTATTGATTTGTGGCTGATCATAATAAATTACATTACTAGGAGTAATCTATACATGAAAGGAGAGCAGAAAAGAGCTGGGATACAATCAACTCTAGATTCATTGTAAATGAAACTAGACTAGCTTGAATAAGTGACACCCAGAGAGAATATAAGGCCCTCACTTCTATAGAATATTTGGTTTCTTTCCCAATTTGGATACCAGGGAAAAAATAGAAATATTTAGTGGTCTTTTTTTTTCTTTCCACACTACTACTTATGTGACATGGCCATTTGGCAGGAGGAAAAAAGAGGAAAACTATAGGGCCTAAATCATTTGCAAATGGTTAACAATACATTTAATGATAAAGAGTGAACTGTATAATTTTTCTATATAAACTGTGGCTCCATTTATGTTCCTGGATATTCAAGGAAACTATTATAAATTTCACTGTATTATTCCTCACCCCCCCTGGAAATAATGTTAATAAAACTATTGTTTTAGTTTACCCATTTTGATTGAGGAAATGGAATTTGGACAATCTAATTTTTAAACATAATTGGAATTCTGATTTTGTTGGATTTGTTTAAAACAGAATCTGAGTGAAGAAAGTAGCAATTGAGACAATTCTAATCTCTGTTAAAAATATCTGATCATTTTATGTTATTTAATATAATCTCCTGAATGTAAGACAGCCACACAAGTACTTTGGATCCAGAGAGTAATTTGCAAAATGAAGTTGAGACTTAACTTTGTTGATTAAAAGAAAATTGCCAAGGTGAAGGAAAGGGGATGGGAACCTAATGGGTGCCAAGAATTACAATGTTAAATTATACATGCATATGTATACATATACATATATGCACGACATATGTGTTCGTGCGTATACACACATACATACAATCAGCTAAAATATTTAATACTTGTATATTCTTGACATGGATTTGAACTTGTTTTTAGATGAGGGAGTCTTTATGAATGTTTTAAAATGTCCACATAAACACCAAGCTCATCCTGACATACCAACTTTGTATAGGGTTTCTAAAAATTGTCACTTTGGCTGGAAAGAAGAAAGGGAGGTTTTCATCATAAATCAGATGTAGTCATGAAAGTAAGAACAAATGCCTTGCTAATGCATTTGTTCACCCCTGGATATAGCACCAATTGGAAAGGTGCCAAACTCATCTATAAATGTGAGAAATGGAGAAGAGAAAAGAGTGGGATGGACAGCTTTCATGAAATGCAGTGAGGCAGGAAGACCAGGAGAAGGTTTGACAAATCTTGATGGTGTGATTCCTCAGCATATTGTTTCATTTGGTCAGCCACCAGGCTATCACAAAGAAAACTGAGACATAATAGTTTTAGCGCATAAAGGAGATTTGTCAAATAATAAATAACATTATTAGAGCTATCAGTAGAAATATCTTCTGGGTATTTGTATCTTCCCAACTGCTGGACATTGTAAAGGAGTCACCATGGGGAGGAGACAACAGCTCACCAATATCTGTTGAAGTCTCACCATTACTACTTTTATCAATCAGAGCTTGATTTTGGCTTCTGCCTTTGGCTCAAATGTACTACGACATATCTTAATTGCTCTTTTTTGAATGGTAAAATATGTCATTGTGTATACAAAATGTAAGAGTTTGGGTTGTTTTTTGTTTCTGTTTCTGTAAATTACCTTGTCCTGGCTTACTGTACATTGAAATCAAATATGTATCTATATAATAATTTTCTGGAAGTTAGACAATGCTGTGGAAATTTCATTTCCATTAGAATTTTAAAACATAGGGTGGGCCAGCCTTAATAACTGTAGCTATTGGAAAGAATAAACTATTAGACAAAAGAAAGCATCCTTACTGCCCTTAAATCCATGTAAAGAAATTGGACAATGCTTCTGAATATAGCAACATTAAAAAGAAACACTCAGTTTTATTTGATCACTTATATAGCTATTAGTCTATGATACATCTTAATCTGAGAGAAAACAATGTCAAAAGACACATAATAATTTCACCCATGGAAGTGTGACTTAAAAAGCAGAGGATGAGAAAATTTGCCTTTGGAAGGCATTTTTGGACATATCCTAATTTAGTGTATAGAAAGCAAGAATAAATAAGTTTCATATCAGGTAGTAGTCATTTGCTGGGTAATTGTATTATATAGTTAATTGAGCTCATTTATTCATACTAAAGAGAAAAAAAAGGGAAAATTAAGCACCATACTTAGCAGTCTTTTGTGTCATCTTTGGTAGATGCCTAATCTAAAACCAAAATGAATTCATGTACAGTAAGATAATGATGATGTAAAATAATCAGAATTAAAATGTTAGCTTTCTTATAGTTTATAACTGGATAAGTGAAAGTCATGTGTTTTCTTTTCAATTGTTTTGGGTTTTTGGGGCCCAACTCTCCAGTTCAGGTGGATTACATTGTCCAATACATTTTGCTGCTATGGTAATGTGTCAAAGCATTTGGTAGATAATCAAATTATTTTTCATATCATATTTATTCATCTATAAAAGAGAACCACTCTTTAAAAATGACTAGTGTAAGGTTCTTGTTCAGGACAACTTCTACTTATTGCTTTCAGAAGACATCACTTAACATAAAAGGGCTGATTGACAACCATCAAATGTAAAATTTATTTAATCCCTCTAAATATTACAAGATAGAAAACTAAGGTGACAGGCAAATTAGTATTGATTCAGTGTTGAATATATATATGTGTATATATATACACATATATAATACATGCATACATATGTATTATATATATATGTATTTTTATATATACATATATATGTTTGTGTGTATATATATGTGTGTGTACACATGTGTGTGTATATATATATATATATATATATATCCTGTAAACATCCCAGTGGTCAAGAGATTGTGAATCTTTAGACTACAATAGTTTTAAAATCAGTCTTTAACAAGTATGTGAATTACATGAATAGCAGCCTGAGAGTTACATTTAGTTTCAGTCTTTGATTAATATTTTCATCAATATCCTTTGGTGCTATGCAGGTCAAAAGTGACTCAGTCCACATTTTCATAATTTGTGGTAGTGAATAGAAAAGTTCAATTCCTTGCCTGAGAGTTTAACTTGTAGAAAGTATAGATATAGTATTGCTGTATTTATTTTTTTTAATTTGATGCTCTGTGTGCATTTTGTTTGTGTACATGTTTTTGTAGTGTAAGATATGAAATTTTATATTTTTTCACAAAAATAAAAAAAAACTTTGAATACAGTTAAATCCAATTGTCATGCTTGATGCAAAAACATACTTGAAATTGTTTACAGAGGAGCTTTCTTTAGTTTCCATTTTAATTATTTAGGTTATATTCATTCCATTTTTTTATTTTATAAATATGTAAAATTGATTATCTACAGAATAACACAATTCATTTATCAGCTTGATTGTTTTGAAATTCAACATACATTCTTCTCCAGAAACATATCCATGATTGTCTGTTGTAGGTCTCTCCAAATATTTAATTTTGTAACTAGGGAATAACACTGAGATCAAAACCCCATGTACAATCAACCAATCATTTAATGTTGGACTCTAACAGGCATTTGTTTGGCTAGTTCTTCCTATAACCAAAGTCAATGATCCATTAGTAATTGCTCCAAAAAAATGGTGATTAGGGAAACTAGAACAAAACCCCCCAAGTGATGTTGGTCAGAAGAATTATAGACAGAGTAGAATCCATATCCTAGGGGCAGGTGGTAGTTAATGAAGAGGGCAAGAGATAAGGATGGGAATGATTACTTGCCATGAATTTTGATGGACTCCTGTACAGGATACCAGAAAGTAGCTTTTGTATTCAAGGGAGTTGAAAGGTATGACTTTATATGAATAGTAAATTATATGAGCTTGCTTTATAAATGGATTCAAAGTAGTATTAACTCTTTTCACCCCTACAAATGCATGTGGTTATTATTGTTATTGTTTCGCATTTTAACAATGATTCCCATTCGAAAATGTTATGTTTTTCTAAGTTAATTAAATAGATGATCATCATAATTAGGGGATGACTTCATGAAGTTTTATTTTTATCATTCAGTGGACAATTAAAATAAAATCATAGAATTCAAGAAGTAGAAAGATATTATCTAGTTTAACCCCTAATAGAGGCTGCTAGGTGATGCAGGAGATAACGTGCTAGGAAGATCTAAATTCAAATCTAGCCTCAGATACTCATTATCTGTGTGACCCTGGGCACATCACTTAACCACTGTTTGTCTCAGTTTCCTCAACTATAAAATCAGACTATAACAGCATCTGTCTCACAAGATTGTCAAGAGAATCAAGTGAGACATTGTTTGTAAAGCATTTAGCACAGTGTCTGCCACAAAGTAGATGCCATATAAATTATTATTCTCTTCCCCTATCACCCCTTCCCTTTGTTTCAAGGATGAAGTATGACCCAGAGGAATAAAATGACATGACCAAAGTCATACAAGTAACTATGGAAGAACAGTGATTAGAACTCCTGAACCAGATTTCTGCTTCCAAGTTTATAATTCTTTTCACTATACAGATTAGGTCAGAGAGTGAAGACATATTTCATCGTGTGTGTGTGTGTGTGTGTGTGTGTGTGTGTGTGTGTGTGTGTGAGAGAGAGAGAGACAGAGACAGAGAGACAGAGACAGAGAGACAGAGACAGAGACAGAGAGAGAAAGAGATACAAACCCAATAGATAATAAGAATTATTTTTAAAATTCTTGTAGTATGCTCCATTTTAGAGGATGGGCAAGAAATGGAAGTGTTGCTGCTTTTCTTATGGTTCTCAAAATATTTTCACTTCTTTTTAGTTAGTTATTTTTAGTTATTTTAGTTACAGTTATTTAATTTATTCTCTTAACAACAAAGAATACTTTTTTTACATAATAAGCAGAATAATTCATTTATTTTTATTCAATGCATTCATGCACAATCAACATAATAACATAATTCTGATATTTTCATTTGGCTTTCAACCACAAATGGTAGTGAAGTTTGATTGCCTTTTACTCTGTGACCTTAAGCAAGTGAAACACTTCAGCTCTCTGACCTTCAAGATCTTCACTGAAAAAAGAAAAAAGAAAAGATATTCACCTAACTGCCTTTTAAGGACCTTGTCTCTGAGCTCTCTAATTATGTGCTTAATATATTTAGAGAAGTTTATTGGCTATTGCTTATTAGCACAAGTTCTGGAAGGTTTTGCTAAGTTAGAATGGCTTCAAATACAGCCTGCACAATGGACTGTCACCTAAGGAACAGCCTAGCTAAGTTTCAAAAAGTTCATCATAAGGTTAGCACCTATATATATTGGTTTCTGTCCTAGTAACTCAAGCCTTTTAGTGTTATGGTATAAAAGATTTGGTAATGGAATCACATTTGTTCACTTTTATGCTGTGCGGTTTTATTTTACCAATGGCCTCTCATAGAGAAAAACTCTGGATTTGAGTCAGAACTGTGTTTGAACCCTATGTTACGTCCCAACAATCTGTGGACAAACATGGACAAACCCCTCAAGCTCTCTTAGCCTCTTTTTACTCTTAGAAAAATTGTAAAACGAGAATAAGAATATTTGGACAACATAATTTGCAAGGTTGGAAAAGGGGGTACACTTTATTTTTATTTTTTCCCAACATCCACTTTTATAAGATTTTATCTTCCAATTTTTTTTTCCCCCTCCTTACCTCCCCTCCAAGATGGCAGGCAATCTGATATAAGCTATACATGTACAATCATATTAAACATATTTCCTCATTAGTCATATTGTAAAAAAGAATAAGAACAAAAGGGGAAAACCACGAGAAAGAAGAAAAAAGAGAAAATAATATTCTTCAATCAGCATTTAGACTCCATAGTTCTTTCCCTGGATGTGGATAGCATTTTCCATCATGAGTCTTTTGAAATTGTCTTAGATCGCTGTATTACTGAGATCTGTCTTATCAATGTTGATCATTGTGCAATGTTGCTGTTACTCTGTACAATGTTCTCCTGGCTCTGCTCATTTCACTCAGAAACGGACCATACAAGACTTTCCAGATTTTTTAGAAATCTGCCTGCTCATCATTTCTTATAGCACAATAATATTCCAGTACATTCATATACCACCACTTATTCAGTCATTCCCCAATTGATGGGCAAAGGGAAGCACTTTATAAATTGTAAAGTGCTATATGGATAGAAGTTCTTATCTGATACTAATTAGGTTTGACTTTAATTAGGTCACATCTATAAGCAACTCTTTCCTCAGCAAAAATGCCCTAAGAAGGTTGAATTGAAGTGACATCAAGTTTTTCAATGATGAGGATATTAAATATGTCTTTGATTAATTCATTTGAAATCAGGTTACAATGGGATTTGATTTTGGTTGACATGAGTCGGCTAAAGTTGAAATTATTCACAGTGTTAGGATTTATTCAATTAGTGCTTTCCACTCTTTCTTCCTCCACTCAGATTTTGACCAATAGGCACCCATCCTATGGTTTTCTAGGGTATGATTCCTTTTTCACTCCAATTGCAAATTATCTGATGAGTTGACTCTTCAAACTAAGTAGTGCCACACCAATACTGAAACTGATTGCTTTCTATATAGCCTGCTTCTAGGGGGTTGCCATTTGAGTAAATACCCTGTAAATATGCCATACTAGGTTCTATTTCACATTAGTAGAACTTCAGAACTCAGTAGATTGTTCAGAAAGGTATATGTGCTGGAGGGGGTTAGGAAGAGGAGGAGGAAGTGAGAGAGAGAGAGAGAGAGAGAGAAACAGAGAGAGAGAGAGAGAATATTCTTTTTTTAAATGAAACCATCTATTATATGCCAGGCACTTTGCTAAGCATTGGAGATACAAAGACAAAAGTGAAAGCCCTTTCCTTCAAAGCATTTACATTTTAACAAGGAGAAAACATATGTAGTTCTATTGAAGGAATATACAAAGTACATAGAAAATCACCTTATAGGGAAAGCATAAGAGCTAGAGGATTAATAAAGACTTCTGACAGAAAATGGAGCTTCAGTTGAATTTTGAACCCAGGGATTTTAGGATTCTGAGGGGAGAAGGAAGAACATTGTTGGCCTGAAGAAAAGTACATTTAAAGCCCTAGAAACCAGAGATAGATTAATATGTTTAAGAAACAGTGAGAAGGCCCGTATGGCCACATTAGAAACTGAGGTATTATTTTAGAGACCTGGGTTGTGATACTGTGGTGAATTTTTGCCTTATCTTGCCCTGATCTAGGTACTCTCATTACTTCCTTGCTATTTCTAAAATACTGTTCCATGTGTAATCTTCCCAACACCACATACCTGAACATACTTTAGCTCAACTTGATGTGTTTTCTCCCATTATAAAATAAAGTTCTTGAGAGCAGAGGCTGTCTTTTTGCTTATATTTGTATTCCCAGTGCATAGAAAAAATCCTGGCACATATTAAACACATAATCCCCCTCTTTCTTTCATTCATTTATTGATATGACATTTATTTCAAAAGCTTCACAAAGGAAGGGTACTAATACATACATACATACATACATACATACACACACACATGTGTGCATGTGTGTGTGTGTGTGTGTGTGTGCGCGCGCGCGCACGCGCGCATGGGCACAGTATGCTGGAATGGTTAAAAAAAATCCAGGTTGTAAGAAGTTATATATGTCAAACAAAAGAACATATATTTGATCCTAGAGATAATAGGGAAATATTGGGTTATATTGATTAGATAGATAGGTAAATTCAAATACCTAAACTATGAAA